CCGACGTAGACTACGTCATCACCGAAGACCCGGCGAAGGCGAAACTCAAACCGAACTGGGAGAGAGACAACAAAGCCGTGTGCGGTGTCATCTCCAGAACGATTCATCCGATCAACATCCGGAACGTCCGTCACTTAAAGACCGACGCTCGCGGATTGTGGGACGCTCTGAAACGAGCCCACCAGGACTCTTCGGCCGGCGGCGTTATGTACTGGCTCCGCAAGCTAACGATGTCGCGAATGGCGACCAAAGACCTTTCATCCCATCTAGACGAGATGGCCAAGACCTATGAACGTCTCAATGCCCTTGTCACGACCGAATCGCCTCTCACACCGGAGGACATATACTCGGCCTCCATTCTAACATCCCTTCCTCAAGATTGGCTGTTGTGCGTCTCATCGATGATGAATGAGCCACGCGTCAGTCCTATCAAACTGATTGACGCGCTCAAAGCCGAGGAACTTCGTCGTAAAACGAGATCCGACGATCCCTCTATCCTTGAATCTGCCTCGGCGACGAAAGCCAACCCCAACTCAAAACGTAAAGGCAACTCGGCCGGCAACAAGCCCCGCCACTGCACCTTCTGTGATATGGACGGTCATGACCTCAACAACTGCGGTCATGTTGCGCGTATGATCCACTCACACAAGTCAACCGGCGATAAGACTGACAAACAAGCTTCGTCGACCCGCTCCTCCACAAAAAGTCGGTTCTCCCATCGACCCCCTGCCAAGGCTGGCAGAACCTCTGCTGCCACACTCGGAGGAGCGGAGGAAGAAAACGACAAATCCGACTTCTCTGGTTCTGAGCTAGAGGTAACAGCTGGTCAAGCGGCGGTATCTCTTTCTTCAACAGTCTTCTCGAACCCCTCAGGTGATGCGAATCTGGACTCAGGCTGCTCTGTGTCAATGACACCGGATCTGTCTGCAATTTCACGCGCTAAGGCCGACAATACCCCAGTCCGTCTAGCCAATCATTCTCTTGTTGAAGCCACACACAAGGGGATATCAAAATTACCGCTCGACACCGATGCCACTGTCACCACATTGGTAGTTCCAGCTCTTGCCGAAACCTTACTCTCAATTGCTGGCCTCTGCGACGCCGGCCTAACCGTGGTCTTCACCAAACAATCTTGCGACATCTACCCTACGCCGGATTTCCACCTGTCAGGCGAGATCGCTGGGAGGGGTTATAGGAGAGGTAATCTATACTACCTACCCTCAGAGCCTGTGAGCTCCCCGTCTACATCTCTTTCCCCAATCCACTCTCATTCTGCCAAATCAGCATCAGTTGACAACAGTCTTCTTGGGTATCATTGGAGGTTCTCACATATAGGCCTCAAGCCCTTGAAACAGCTACTGAAGCTACACGGCATCACACCATCTGTGTCGAACGAAATACACGTTCAACGTTGCTCGATCTGTCTTCAATCCAAACTCCATCGACGCCCATTCAAATCCCGCTCATTGTACAGGTCCACCATCCCCGGAGAGGTTATCCACTCCAATGTTGGGTCGTATGAAGTGCAGTCCAGGGAAGGCTATAAGTATTTCATCTCTTTCATAGACGACTGTTCCAAGGCTGTATTTCTCTTTCCAATGAAATTTAAATCCAAATCTTTCTCATGCTTCAAAATTTTCCGAGCCTCCTTTGAAAAGATCAACAATCATGAGATTAAATCCCTACGGACTGACAACGGAGGCGAATACATGTCTAAGGAATTTGAGAATTATCTTCAAGCTGCGGGCATCCGTCATGAACCAGGTCCACCTCACTCACCTCAGCTGAATGGGGTGGCCGAAAGAACCAACCGGACAATAAGCAATCTGGTCCGCTCTTCTCTTCTCAGTGCTCACCTTCCCAAATCCTTCTGGGTTGATGCTCTTCGCCACGCATTCCATTTTCACAACCATATACCGTGTAACACCCCAATGGGATTCAAACCGCCTGCCTCCATACTGGGAATACCACCAATTGACATCAAATCTCTACACCCATTTGGCTGCCTCACTTACTACAAAATACCTGAGGACAACTGCCTTAAACTGGACAAGAGAGGACGGGCGTCAATCTTACTATCCTATCTTTCCGATGGAAATGGCTACCGCGTGTGGGATCTTGAAAAACGTTCAGTCGTCAAATCTCGGGATGTCACCTTCATCGACTCAATCTTTCCCTATGGCTCTCCACTGTCAACACCCTCGTCTCCAATCATGGTAGAACTACCATGGCCCATTGCCATGAATCATAACAGAAGCCAGCCGAACCCCACCAACACAACTCAGTCAAGTCCAGTCTTAAACCCAACTGTCACTACACCTCCTCCGATTGTGTCACCACCAACACCGGATATCCCCCCACTGGATATTCCCCTGCAACCCCGTTTTGACCGACACCTGACTGCCTCAATTCATGCCCCAGGAAATGATCGGTCCAAGTCATCATCATCGCTTCTGCCAACGGTTCCAATCAATCTTCCACCTCTGCCTCCCTCGCCTCCCCCTGTGCAACCTCTCCCAGCGCCCTCTAGTGACGGTTCTGGCTCCACAGCACCTATTCAGGCTCAGACTCCTCCCTCTCCATCACGCCGACGCTCAGGCCGTGAGAGGAGGGCTCCTGACCGATATGGTAACTGGGCCAAACGCGCCACGGCTGCGGAGGATTTGGACACACCGAAGACTTGGAGGCAGCTGCTCAAATCCCCCAACAAAAAACGATGGCTCAAGGCTGCCGACGATGAATTTGCCTCACTCCTTGGAATGAACACATGGCGTCTAGTTCCTCGTCCTCAAAAACGGAAAATTATCAAGTCGAAATGGGTTTTCAAGATCAAACGTCGTCCTGACCGTTCAATTCAAAAGCTCAAAGCTAGACTGGTTGCTATGGGATACTCTCAAATACATGGCCTCGACTACGATGAAATCTTCTCTCCAACACTCCGCCTCGAAACACTGCGCCTCATCTGTAGCCTAATGGCAATTCGCGACTGGACCGGCCGACAAGTGGACTTCAAGACTGCTTTTCTAAATGGCAATCTTGAACACACAGTCTACATGGAACAACCTCCCGGCTTTGAAGATCCAACCCACCCCAACTGGGTGTGTCAACTCGATTGCTCTCTCTATGGTCTCAAGCAATCTCCGCGTCAATGGAACTCTGCTCTCCACAAAGCCCTGACTGAACTTGGTCTCACAAATTCAAAATACGACCCCACTCTGTACTTTAAGGTTCAAAACAAGCAACTTGTGGGCGCCCTAACAACACATGTGGACGACCTAGCCATAGTTGGTGACCCGGATTTCGTGACAAGTCTCATCAAATCTCTAGGCAACAAATTTGACATTGGCGCCGACTCCGATCTACACCACTTCCTCTCCCTGAAAATTACCAGGGACCGTCAACAACGTCTCGTCTACCTGAATCAATCCCACTACATAGAGGAAATCCAGGAAAGATTCTTAACTAATGCTGTACCCGTCCTGACCCCCACGGATTCCAACTTCAAGCTCCTTCGCCGACGCACCACCAGTGATCCCCCGTCTTCTGGCCCTTACAATCAACTTATTGGCTCACTGCTGTGGGTATCTCAGTGCACTCGACCCAACATCTCCTTTGCAGTGAACAAACTCTCTCAACATTTACGGGACCCGTCGGAGGCACACTGGCAAGCGGCTATTCGCATACTCAACTATCTGGTCTCAACCAAAAATTTACGCCTCCGTCTAGGTGGAAAACTTGACTGCTTGGGATTCTCTGATTCGGACTGGGCTGAAGACCGCGATGACCGAAATTTAAAATCCACCTCTGCTTACACCTATCGCATAGGAGATGGAGCCATCTCGTGGAAATCTCGCAAGCAAGCAACGGTCTCGCTCTCAAGCACAGAAGCTGAATACAAAGCACTCTCGGACTCCTTCAAAGAGGGACTCTGGTTACGAAATGTCCTCACTGAACTCTGTCTTCGCCCAAACACTGCCATTCCAATTCATGTTGATAACGAAGGTGCCGAAGCTCTTGCCAAGAACCCTGAACATCACGCTCGAACAAAACACATTCATGCTTGGTATCACTTTGTAAGGGAATGTGTTCAGCTCCGCGAGATAGAACTCCTCCATGTTTCCACCAAGGACATGTTGGCGGACATGCTCACCAAACCCCTGTCTCGTGTCCTGCTAGAAAAACATCGTACCATGTTTGGCATTGTGGCTTGATTATTCTTTTTGTCCTTTTTTTTTCTTTCTTTCTTTACTACTCTATCATGTTCTCTTTCTCAGATTCTAATTTTTTTTTCCTCTACTCATTTTTTTTATTTATTTCTTCTTAACATTTTCTTTTCACTGTATGCAGCAAGGGGGGGTGTTGGATTTCACAGTGTTCCATTCCGTCTCTCAGTCATGTGCTACATACATTTCACTCACATGTCACTAGCATTGTAGTTTACCTGAGACATGAGTGAGTACGTGGAAGGCTTCTCTTTCCTCATCCTTCCACAACCTCACTTTATGTCTCAGGTAAGTCCCTTTCTATTATGTTTTCCTTTTCTTTCTCTTCTTTCATCCTCATGAGGTTGTTTCTCCTTTTTCCATTACTGATGCAATGTTATCCTTCCACAACCTCACTTTATGTCTCAGTATCACCTCAACAGCCTACTCGACTCATCCGCATAGGTCTGCAAGTGACAAAGCAGACAATCTGGGTGGCGGCTTGGACAAATAAAAGCTGGGTTGTTCACTGCGTTCCTCCTCATCCAAACTGCTACCCCCTCCACTCCAGTAGTCAACCTTCAAACTTCGTCACCAAATACTACCAACCTTAAGTGTGAATCCCTAGCTACATATCTTACATTTACTATCAACCCAGAGCGTGAATCCCCAGTTATATTATAATCTATTTACATTAACTTTGAGAACATTATGGATGCCTCTATGATTGCCGAATTACAAGCTGGTCTCGCCCAGAGAGATTCCTTGATTACTCAGCTTCTCAATTGAGTTAGTGCTATGGAACTCAACAACGCCAGCAAGGCTCCAGAAGGCTCGAAAAAAAAGTCAACATCTACAGGCGCGGCTCAAAGTGGTAGCGGAGAAACCAGCAAGAAGAAAAAGTCCAACAAGGCCAGAAAACAGAAAAAACCGACTACCCCAACACCAACCCCCAAGGCAATTCCAAAACCTCCGACCAACTTGGGTTCTGCCACCAAAACTCCTGTGAAGCAGCGCGCCCGATCCGCAACCCCAGCCTCCGCATCGAAGAAAAGTCCGCTTCAAATGGTGGAGCAAGACCACCCTGAAGGCTTTGAGCACACCAAGGTATGTTCTCCATGCTCTACCTCACACAACCGCAATAACAGCTGACCAGTCGTTTGCATTTCAGGAGGCATTCTATGTCCACATCAAGGTGTTGTGGGGCTTGGTAAAGAAACATGCCGTCCCCAACACCCCTTCACCCGAACAATTGGCTACATTTTACCAGCGATTCTCATCGACTGAACAGATTCAATCGGCCGTCACTGGAGGTCCAAACCTGGTTGCTCTCGAAACAATCAACACCCTCAAAGAAGCTCGAGAGAAGCACATGAAACTCGGCAAACACATTGTGAACATATCCGACTTCCACGTTCGATATATTCATACCTTCTTGTTGCAACTCGGACTCTCTTCTTGGAACCCCAATCTCAACGAGCAAGCCGACTCCTTGTACAACAAGGCCCACAAGATCTGCGCCATCAGGAGCTTTCGACAAATGGTTGCAGGCGGGGCTTACCAATACATGAATGTAAATGCTAGATACGTCAACAACTTCGATATTTTGAAACAAACTTACGATCACTACGTCCACTATGTTCTGGCCAAGATATTTGACAAGGAGAAGAAGGAGGAAGGCAAGCATTTTCGTGACGAGGAGAGGAAGGTGCTTCAGACCGCCCGAGAAAGGGTAAGCTTTTTTTTTTTGTGAATTCTAAGAACTGTTGCTGATGAAACAATATGGGTTCCAGCTCAAGGAAAAACGATACAAGTTTGCGGTCAATAACAACTTTCCAAAGCGATGCCTCGACATTATCAAGTGTGTCCAGGCTCACAGCGATGATGAGTTTTACCCTTCAAAATCGGTGTACACTGTCAAGAAGCTTCCATTCTGATCCCGATCTGCCGATGTATTTTTCCGCCGCCTCGATGAAGTCATGAAGCAATCGGCGCTTGAAGAAGGTCGACGTGATCAAAGCAGACGGCGAATCCGCGTCAAAGACACCCCAAATACAGTTTTTCCCAAAGCGCCCAAAGGACTGCCAATTGACTTCTACGAAGCAGAGTGGTTCAACGAAAAACTCCCTGCACAGCGGCAAAACCTGGCCAACATCGACGCAGTGGCTTTCCTCTCAAACCCCAGCAACTCTCTTTGATTCAAAGAACCTATAGAAAAGCTGTCAAACAAGAGATTCTCAGAAGAGCGATGTGATGACGCCACAAAGAAGTACAACATGGACTTCCTGACTCCCAAAGAACAAGACTCTGACTCCGACAATGAAGACGAGGACATTGATTATGGCGAGAGCATTGATTTGGAGAAAACTGATGGGGAAGATGACAACGAGGATGAGGATGAGGAGGAGGAGGACGGAGATGATGATGTCAACATGAGAGGAGAAGCCGATGAAAACTTTGAGGAGTTCGATGACCCAGACGCCGACATGAAGATGGAACACTACGGGAAGGGGTCTTATTCGGGGGGGCTAAATGATGACGAATGGAATGCGTGGCAGTGAAGGTCGCTCGGTTACTTTTTTTTCTCTATCTCTTGTACTCATCCCTGTCACTCGTTCAGTTTCTTTCTCCATCTCTGTCATTCACAATAGCTTTTATGTTTCTTGTCCTCTCACTTACCTTTGTCACTCATTTAGCCTTTTATCCTGCTCCGCAAATAGTGTCTTGTTCTCTTCTTGATCTGCATGCCTCATTGTCGCTTGTTCAATTCTTGATTGGAGTCTGTGAATAGTCTCTTGTTTTCCTTTTTTATTTTTCTTGAAAACCCTTCACTCTTTTACCCTCTCACAACGTGCAATGCAAATTGAATAAGTAATAATTAACATAAGGGCCTAGCGGCCTTGACTCAGAGTTTCAAAGGGCAAAAAGAATGCTTACGCGCCCTGACTCCAATGAGGCAGGTCACCTGTACAATGATGAAGTGGGAAGTCAAATGTTTGGTATAATTTCTGAGTCAAAAAACTGCAAATAAGTGAAAAAAAAACATATATACACCATAGAAAAAATAGTCGAGCAAGTGAAAAAGCAAGGACAACAACAATTCAGAATATGACAATAAGCATGTAAAAAAAATGAGTGAAAGAGGTTACAAAAAAAAAATAATGAAAATCAGGAGACAAAAGATATGGGAAGATACACAAAAAAAAATAATGAAAATCAGTAGACAAAAGATATGGGAAGAAAGAAGATCAGGGATCTAGATCCATGGGATCATTGGTGGATGATGGAGCTGAGGAAAGGCCACCAAGTGGTCTGATGAGATAGCTGGGATTGACAGTCGCAAGGGACCATGCTGGGAGGCGGTGATAGGCTACCGGGCTAACTACCTGGGGGGGATATATATACTCGATTGATCCAAAATGCATTTGTAACACATTCAGCTTCTCCAAATAGATTGGTAAGGCATCCCCTCGTGCGACTTGTTTACCCCGGATCACTTTTATGAAATCTGAATATTCGTGGCCAATCCCAGTTGGACGAAAGATATCACAGACCTGTCCATAAGCCACCTCCCCGTTGTTGCTGATGTACTCAACTATGTCGTTTGGCTTTCTTTTCGATATCCTCCTCCCTTGTCCGACCTCTAGCGACTTGATTTCTTTTGCAAGACTGAACATGACCTTCGCCTGGGGTGGATGAGGTAGATCGTAATATGCCCGCAGGTCTGGAACTGTTTGGCAACAAAAGTGGAGGACTTCGTCGTAGGCCTTGCGATCCATTTCGAATGGGGCCTCAACCCGTTGTTTTTGTCCTTGATTGTGAGCACAGTTCAACCCCTGCGCAGCCTTCAGCCTCTGACGTTGGCAGAACTTATTCATAATTGTCACGCCTGTGTGTTCTGTGTGCAAGTAAAGTATATCTGTCAGCCACCCACACGTATATTGCGGGATCATTTAATTACTCACTCCAATGGGTATTTGTTTTACATTTTTGCAATGAACCAATGAGCCGTTCTCCAGGAAATTCCGAAACCAACATGAGAGGCCCCCACCAATTCATTTGTTGAGGGATGTGGAGCGTGTAATGGTGATTAGGTAGGATTTTCAGATTGGGAAAAATTTGTTCTGATGTTGCAGTATATACCTCGTACTCGTCTCGGAAGCAATTCACATCTTCGCCAGTAATTCTTTTTGAGCTTACAAGGTTTGTGCAGCGGACCAAGGCACAGATGTTGTCCAACGCAGTTTGATTCAAACGTAAATCCTCGTCAATATCGCCGGATTCCAAGAATATGTCAAGTGAAGCCAAAGGCAGGTGAATGGCAAAGAGAGTATGCCATTCACTGGCTTTGAGCTTCCCGTTCTTCTTTGTCCCAAGCCCCCAAGGCAAGTTGGAACCACAACGTCAAGAACTGATTCGACTAGTTTTTCTTTTTGTGCCACGCTTAAGAACAAGCTTGCAACCTCGTCGGTGTCGTCATCTTCTTCTTCCTTGGAATTGGAGAGATCATTCTCGGTGACATAGTTGCTAGATTCCGCTCCGCTTCTTTCGGAGTGGCCCACAGCCCTGTTTTTCTTATCCCGGTTTCCATTTAATCCCCACCGAAATTGAAAATGATGCTGTAAAACACCCTCGAACCAATTGTGCATGATACCCAGCACTACATGGCTGACCGGGTCCCAGTAAGGAAGTCGGTTTAGTTCTGAATATTGTACTCCTGTTTCTTTGACCTTAGCCTTTCGTTCTGTTGCACTTGCTTCAAGCCAACGCCGAGCGGCTGCTAAAGTCGCCAATCGAGTCCGAGGCTGTCCGATTTTCATCTGTGAAATATCTGTGTCGAGAACATTGCACCAAGAGCAAAACCGTTTCCCAGAATGTGAGGTGAATCCAGCGACTTTGTGGGTGGCAACGACATCGCCAAGCAAGGCACCCAGCTTAGCGGTAATCCTTTGGCCTTGTGGGAACTGGTGGGTCTGGATTTTCTGACTTTTATACAGCTTGATGAAGTCGTCTACTAGTGGTCGTAACACTTTGTTGGTTGTTATCATGTCGGGTTGGTTGGGTGCAGGAATAATCCCAGCGACATAAGTGTACTGTGGCTTGTATCGTAATGCCGGATGCAGGTTTAGACATGTGGGAGCAAGAACACTAAGCAAGACTTGTTTCCCTGCAAGTTTGTTTCCAAGAGGGTTGAACCACTCAACAAACAGCGTGAAAACTAGGTTGAGAGGTGGAGGCTGGTTAGTTGAGCAGACATCCTGTGAGTTGAGCTTTTTGAATGCGCGTGATTGAAGGTAGTCGGAGATGCCATCAGGACAAGGATCCGCTTGCCCAGAAGATTCTTCCATAGAGACTTTGACTTCAGGTAAGGACAGAAACCACTTCAACCAGTCCGTCAAGTCCTGAGTGATAAAAATGCTTGAGGGGTTCGTTGGGTGAAGCTGCTGGAGCTGCTGACGTCGGAGTTTTGAGGGTGGTAACCGTTGATTTGGAGTACGCGAGACTTGGTTGAGCAAAGGGATTCTGTTTGTGTCGAATAGTTCCTCCCCGCATACTAGTGAATTAGGAGTGGCGCGGTAGCCGCATGTGAATGGTGCTGTTTCGATGTCGTACAGCGAGTAACATTTGCGGCAGCAGACGTGTTCTTCAAGTTCAGGGGTGAGTTTCAATTTCGCACATCCTTCGGGATCTTTGTTTCCATATTGGCATCGGGGGGAAGCTGGCGACAATGTTTGATGAGATAGAGGATATAGTCAACTGCCTCGCAACACTTGTCTTGACTGATCCCGCAGAACAAATAGAGCCATGCAATAAAGTATAGGACATAATCTAGAAGAGTACAGGTTGATGAGCTTGGTAAGCCAGGCAGTGAAATTGAGATTCATATACTCACAATGGGAGATTCCAATTGGTTGGTATTTGTTGTCGTCTGAACCACGCGAGTCTCTCTTACTAGCGTCGACTTCAGGGATTGGTTGGGCTGGTTTTTTGTCGCTGAGAAGGGATGGAAATTCATCGAGGGCGAGCTTGACCATTGATTCCGCTAGTTGTTTTCCATTGTCTTTTCCAGTATCATGCCAGTGCTTCTGTCAAGTTCTAGGATGTACATAGAGTCCTTGTCGGGTGAGACCATTCTCGATAAAGAGATTTTCTTGGCATTTGGGACATGTACAAAGCTCTCTTCTTGATGGAGAATCCATAACGCAAAGATTGAACCTGTTTGAAAAATCAAAAATCAGTAGCAATTCATCTTGCTGTAGCTTGGAGAGACAGGTCGCTGGACTTACACAGAAAAGCTGGATAACTGGGGAGTCGAGATCGGAATTCAAGGGTGTGGGGCGATTGATGAAGTTGCAGCTGTGTAAATATGTAGTTTCCACTTCCAGAGTTGGGTTGCATAAATATGCATTTAAATACAGGATTCTGTATGTCTAGCCTGTTATGTACTTACTTATGACAGGTGTACATATGCATAGTGACATGGAAACATCACCTGATGTTTCTGGCGAGGTTTTCACAGGTCGCGCAAACCTTCAGGAAAACCACACGCCACAGCTCCGCAGAAAACATCACCTGCCTGCGCGTGGTGTTGGCAAGGAGCAGCCTTGTGGATGTGTGTGTCACAGACTCTCATGAGGTGTTGGGTTCAACTCTGGATGGCCTCATTTTTTTCTTCTCAGCGCAAAAAAAAACATCCATTGGACGGCTTGTAAACTGTCCAATGGACAACTTTGTGGAAACTGTCCGCAAACCGTCAGGCAGAGTAGTGTCCAATGGACACTCTCTGCCCTGCAAGTTCTGGACAGCTGAGATACTGGCCAGAAGTGTGTCCATGGGACATCAGAATGGCCCCGTGGTGTACCCACTATGTACCCAGATCAAATCTGGTCCAGCCCCCTAGTAACACAAAAAGGGGTTATTGCAGTTGGATTGTAACTGGAGTTGCAATAAATTTTTCATGATGTCACCTGTCATCTAGTGAGAATGCTTTTTTCTGATGACACTACACACACACACTGCACAAATTAACTCATTGGTGTGGTAGCTGAATGTGTAAAAATTCGAAGTTTTTCATTACTTTGCATTATAGTTTCTATTCTTCATCTTTTTTTTCATATTTACACTCACAAATAACTCAATATGGCTCAAGAACTGGATTCTACACTCAATTTCACCCTTGGTCACCACTGGAGGCGTCACTGGAACTCAACTGGATTGGAAGCTACACCCTCTGGACTCTCACAACACTCACAACACTCACTTATACACCTCAACAACATGGCAACACTAAATCACCACCAACATATCAACAATTACACATCTCACACTATACATATGCACATTGCAGGACAACTACACTCTCACACCAGCATAGTACATAAGTATACACACCACTCCACTATCTTCTGACATATTGACACATGCAGTGTTGGTCTGGTACCACTCTGGATTTACAAGTGACATCATGCAGGTGGTCATGTCATTTGTTATTCTTCCTTGAAGCTGTCACACTATCTCACACCACTCATGTAATCTTCATCACCCCCTATTAGTTTGTAGACTAGTACATCACCTCATGAACAATACTTCACCAGCATAAAACCCTCATATA